AAAAGAATTGGTTACTCCATCTGAGCCTCTCCCTTTGTAACAGAAGCATCACTGCCCTTGCTCTTTCCACACCTTGGCAGGAGATTTAATGAGTTTAAAAAGCTATACTGAAGCTCAGAAAGTGTGAGGATTGGGAGGCTATGCCCAGATCAACTGCCCAGATTTTTAGAGTCAATTTTTGACCAAAAAAAATCAACTTGTACACAGGGTTACATAATATGTTTGGAAACTTTAAGGAAACCTCAGCTGTTTCTCAGTTATTTGGACTACAAATGTCTTCTGGAAAATGTATATGTAGGAATGACAGGTGACTGTTGGAGATCTCAGTCCAAGCAGAGATCCAGTTGGACTTCACCAGCATTCTCCCCAAATGCATAAGTCTAGAAATTTTAATCAAAAGACAATCCAAAAACCCTGGGTCTACTTATCTCTGGGTCAATGTAAATACTGTGCCTTATTGCATATCAAAAAGGGAGCCATCTCTTTGAGTGAGCGGAGTGTAGAAAGAAAAGAGCGTAGTCTGTCCCAAGAGAACCTAAAAGAAGCACCAACCCCCTCTACTGTCTCTGCGACAGCATCACGTCTGGCCTATTTGAATGCCTAGGCAGGAAAATAGTGGTGGTTCCCTGAGACAGTCTTAGTGCTTTCCCCCTCTGCAGAATAACCCTCAACTTATCCTTAGGTCTCATCAAAGTCTATAAGGTTGGCCCCAAAACCTGCTCTCAATTTACACATAAACCTAACTTATACATGGGTCTATACAGTAAATTCTTGGATAGGTACTGTAAGTTCTTAGATAGACACAAGGATTTTCTGCTACATGGTGTTGTTACTCAAAACAATTTTCCTTTATTTCCTGTTTAACTTAAACCGTTAACTTAAATTATGACTTTCCACTTAAGGCTTTTAAAAATGTCCCAAACCAGCTGTGAATGTAATAACCTTTAGTATGTTTATTTGCTTCTGAGTTGTTGTTTTTAATTTTCGCTTTGATGAAATCCTACAGAGAAAACAGGCAATCTCAAGAGGATTCATTCCTTACAAAACTTAGCTAGTACTAGTAAAGTTAAGCACATGCGGAAATCATCTCTTTGACATCAGTGGGACATTTAAAAAATACATTTGCTGGTTTGTGCTCACAGTCCCTGCTTCATGAGTTGCAGAGATAAAATGTTGCAGAGGGCAAAAATGTTGAAGGAACTGAAAAAAGAATCATATTATTTTTATTTCTTTGCACATGATTCATGTAACAACTTTGGCTGTTTGCAAGTCACGGAAAATTGTAGCCTGCCTTCTCCCCCTGCAAGTGTGAGAGGAAGTCGGAAGCTTTTAAAGTTTTGATTAAGCTGGCTTTGGCATGTCACACACCACTTAAATTAACCAAAGCTAACTTCAGAATAGCATCTTAGAAATTGTCATTATTAGTGCTGACCACTATTCCCTGATTAAGCTACATAGGGTGCATCTATGCTGTGGAATGATTGCAGTTTGACACCACTTTAATTGCCATGACTGAATGCTATGGAATCCAGAGAGTTGGAATTTTACAAAGCCAAAGATTGCAGCCAACTCACCAAACTAGAGATTCCAGCATTCCATAGCATTAAGCCATGGCTGTTAAAGTGGCATCAAACTGTATTAATTCTAGAGTGTAGATGCACTCTCAAGAAGCAAAAGTGGAGGATATGTTTCCAAAATCTTTTAGCTGTAGAAGGAGGAGGAGGAGGGAAGGGAAGCATGACCCTGTGTAGATCATTGTAGTTCATGAATGCTCCACTAAACAATGTAATGATCCATTAACACAACCATTCTCAAATGTATTGTTAGGTTTCTCACTTTCCCAGTAGGCCCTTGGCCTATTTGTGTAGTCTGCTATATCACTGGAAAAGATTTACATATTATTTAATGACATACAGTAAAATGGTGTGCATTAGCTCCAGACCACTGAATGTGACATTACCAATGCATCTTCCTGTTTTCTATATTTAAATTTGAAATTGTTCATATGCAACATTGTCTTAGGCTGAAATAATGTCAGTACTAAGTGGGAAATGTGTACAAGATCATAGTACAGTGTGCTTTTTTTAGTCGCACTGATTGGTTTGCTGACCCATATACCTATGGCAACGCGAACAAACTGCAGTTTACAAGCAATTTCATAGCTGTTTTAAACCCTGGTGCAAAAATGTGTGGGACATGCTCTCTCCAGGCAATTGGAGTTTAATTAAATTATATGTGATTTGGTTTTATCAAATGTATATTTTAAAGTACTGGGGGGGGGGGGCAAAGTAGGTATCATGGCAGCTCAGGCAATGCTTCTCATATGTGCAATCCTATTTCTAGATGCATGGGTTTAACTGAATTTGGAAGTGCAATTGAGGCATGTCCCCACTTTGCAACAGATGTATATCTAAATATAGTTATACATCTGACCTATTTCACTCGAAGACATGTGTTTTCCAGCACACAGTGATCATTATTATTGTTATTAGTCTTTCATTTGTATGTCACCTTACTCCCAGGGAAGGCATCTGCTTTTGACACGTATACCTCTTCATTAAAAGCAAAACCTACAGGTAATAATTGGGTGATGAGAAACCTGTTGGAAGTCCCTTGTATGTCATCATCTTTAAACAGAGTTGAACTGGCATTTTGAAATTTGAAACTAATATTCAGATAACTGAAACTCTCATGTTTCATTCGGTTTGCTGCATTTTTGTGTTATAAGGCAGTGGTTCCCAACCTTTTTTTGACCAGGGACAACCTGACCAGGGACCACTTTGACCATGGACCACTCTCCAACATTAGTACCAAAAGGGTTATGAATCAGTTTTTGGTCAACGGTTGGACAACCTGACTGGATAATGACTGGTAATGAAATGTGGAGGACTTATGGTTTTTATTGTGTTACTGATGTTAATTGTAATTGTAATGAATTTTTACCTGTGTTAAATGTTTTTAATGTTTAAATTATTTTTGTACTGTTGTGGGCATCTAATTGTGCCATTTTGTAAACTGCCATGAGTCGCCCTCGGGCTAAGAATGGCAGTATAGAAGCATAGTAAATAAATAAATAAACTTTAGATTTGGTTTGGTTATTTAGGGTGCTGATTCAGAAAACGGCATTGGATCGACCACATCAGCTCTAGTTTCTGATACAGAACAGTAGTTGCCATCAGCTCACCCGCAGAAAACCATATTTAATAAGCCTCGGCACTATTAGAGGGTTTTATGAGATCAGTCACTCTGTTGCAACAGTGTAGTAATGGTGAGGCCATGGACCATATTTTAGTTCTTGTGGACCACTGGTGGTCCACGGACCACTGGTTGGGAACCACTCTTATAAGGGATATTTCTTATTTGAAGGCCAGAAATCTTGTATCTTATGGGATTGACAGATATCCCTTATTATTAAAAATGTTTACTATTTGAGCACTGGGAACCTTTTCTTTTTATATATCAGTTCTATCAGAACAAGGTGCCATATATAGACTGAACAAAGTGCTGTCATTTGGGGTGTAGGCATTTCAAAATGACAGAAATATGAGCATCATGTAATTTATGAATGTAGTCAATGCTTTAATTTTGCAGAGATCGACATGGCTTCCTTAAATGAAGTCAATACTTCCAGTTACTTAAACAGAGTACAACCTGCATGTCACAGACTTGGACTGAAAACATGGTAATGTTTTGTATTGAAACATGGTAATGCTATGTATTGATTACCTTCACAGGAGGGAGAGAGGCAATGAAAATGTGATGTCCAAAATGATGAAACTATTTTGAGCCAGAGGTACCCAATGGGATACCTATAGACACCTCCGTGGGGACAAACCCACTTCCTGTCCCTCATGATTATCCTCATTTCTCTATTGTTTTTAAATAAAAGAACTTTAACATAAAGGTTATCATGTTGACAAATGAAATGCCAACTTCCAGGGGTAGAAAGTTTTTAAAAGGTGTGCAGCTACAACCCACCTAGAAACATGCCCAGTTTACCAGAAAATGAAAATTTGAAAAGGGTATACTGGGGGTAAAGGTGTGTTAGAGATTATGGGATAGTGTCACTTGCAAGGTGTATACTGTCTGAATGCAGTCTGTGTATGTTTTAACTGACTCTTGGCTTGCTTTTCCACTCAGAGTTTTGTATTAGAGTGGTATGTCTTCTTTTTCTGAACATCACCGCCTTCTGTGAGGTGGATATTTTGCTGCACTTTCTATCTTTCTGTTGGTGTGGAATGTGTAATTTGGCATTTGGGGTTACGATTGACCTGTGCTCTGTACCCAGTTTCTTGGCCAAACTACTTGTTGGTGAAAACAGAAGAGCACAAAACTCTTCATACAAAAGTGTGAATTTTCTGTTGTGGAATTCCAACATGACTGATAAAATAATTTTTCATAATCTTCTTTAACAGCTCCTGTTTTCTAATCCTTTGAAATGGATTAAATTATTTTGAATAATGCTTTGTTTTTTCCTCTTTTCCTTTTTAGCCTGTCTATCAAATATAATAACTTGAGTGCATAGTGTTCTAAATTTGTTTCTGTTTTTTGTTTTCTCAAAGGCACATTGTACTGAATCATGTACTGTGTTCCTATTTCCATATGTTGTTTGAACTGCTCTTGCTGCTCAACAATACAAGAAAACAGGAGCATCAAATGTCACTAGCTATGCACATCCACTTTATAATTACTGTTGAAACCAAAAAAATATTATTCACTTTCTATGAAGCAACAAGAATCTTATAGATTTGTATTCATATGACTCTCTTCTGCAGATTTTTCAAGATGTTACTACCATCATTGTGTTCTTCTATAAAATTATATTTACGAATATATTATTTTATATTATATTGGAATGAGTAATATTCTATACTTATTGTAGCATTATAAACATAATTAACTGGAAAGAAAATAAATGCATATTGCTTGTAGTTTCACATATTTCAAAATGTACTTTTCCCCAATGTCCTCACAGGTTTTTGTACTTTTTTGTTTTTCAGTTTTCTCCTTGTGTTTGGTTGCTTGATTTTGTCAGTATTTTCTACTATCCCTGACCATATATGGCTTGCCACTAGTTGCCTCTTCATTCTGGTAAGTGAATTTTATTGAATACAAAAACTTCTCTGATAATTGTGTATGTCTATGTATGTGTGTGGAAAAAGTGTGGGGGGGGGGGGAGAGAGAGAGAGAGAGAAAGAAAATGGATGAATGAATGAATTATGATTCTTTTTTTTAAAAAACTGTGAAATGTAGTCTTGGCCACTATAACAAACTTACCTTGCAGACTCAAGTACCCCAAGTGGCAAGCCTGTGTCTTTAATCAGAATGGAACCACATCTAGCACAGACTGAAACCCTATACCAGTGGTTCTCAACCTGTGGGTCCCCAGATGTTTTGGCCTTCAACTCCCAGAAATCCTAACAGCTAGTTAACCGCCTGGGATTTTTGGAGGTTATAGGCCAGAACACCTGGGGAACCACAGGTTGAGAACCTCTGCCCTATACCCTGACCAGGCTTTCAACTGACTAGGAGTACTGCTGTCATATTAAGTTTTAATTAACTCATCTTCATCCAATCCATTACTGATGCCAAGCACTCATTTAGAAAGAAAAAAATAGTTAGGTATCACGAGCATACTGATGAAACCCAACCTTGAAGCTCTAGATTACATTTCCTTGATTTCATGTAGATGCTGAACATCAGGGGGACAACACATTTTGAAGAGTAAGACATGGGAATCCTGAAACCATTTAGTTTTATGGCCTTCCAAGGGGCATCTATTTGAGCCACAAATGACAATGCTGATCTGGAGTGGGGTACTCTGTATTAATGTTGTCATGGTCCAGACAGACAGCTGTCAAACCAGCCAAGGGGTCGGTAGATGTCTGTTATTGTATCACCAGTCTTATCTTGTTCTCATCAATCTGGCCTTTGCAGTGCACACCAGACATTAAAATGATGGTGCTCCTCACTCAGTACCTGTGCTATGCGAGAGAAGGAAGGGGGGGAAAGGACAAATCAGTCCCTCCTTTCCCCCTCTCCCTTCTCTGATTGCCATGTCACTATGTCTATCATCATTATATGCACTGTGTAACAAACACTAACATTTTTGTGCCTCATTGGCCCCACAAAAACCAGAATGACAAGGCAAGATAGATGTCATCCCCCATCCCTGAGCTGCTCTAACTTGTGGAAAGTAGAATGGTGACGTTTACATTGTCCCAAAATGTAGGTAAGCAATGGAGCTTCAGGGAAGCTCCAGTGTATCCTATGATTTTTCTTGACATGCTAAAAGGCTATGTTAAGCTGGCATCCGTCATGTTAAAACAGATGGATCCCGTGTATAATGTAGTCCATTCACCTCAGAACATCTGATATGATATAATGTAGTCCATTCACCTCAGAACATCTGTATGACCCATCTAGGTGGACCCCCAGAAGAAACAGAGATGCTGTACAATAGTGCTGTAAAGTCCCATCATAACATAATATCTGAGGGATACTATGGTTAATAATATCAAAAGCTTCTCAGAGCTCCTGCAGAACCAACAGGGACACATTCCCACTGAAGATCATCCATATAGGCAACCAAAACCATGTCCATCCTGCAACCAGGCCTAAAGCCAAATTGAACTAATGAACCTAGATTAGGGCCCTTAACTAGAGGCCCATTGTTATATTGTTGATACACACCCAGAGGGTCAAAATTACATCCTCTGGGTCTGTATCAGCCATAGCATTCAAATAAAAATGTATTGTGATGACTTAATTTGCAAAATATTGGTAAAATGTTTACAGGCTGTAGGGTGAAGTTAATGTTCTTTTTGTGAGCCAGGGTATGAAAATCCCCTAACAATTTGAAACAGCACCATTAGAGAATTCTTTACAGATGCAATGCTGATGGAGAAGGAAGATTTTTTTGCTGCCCTGGAGAATACCTTCAACCAAAATTTGGCCAAATTTGTTCCAGACTTTCCACAAATATCACTCTTGCCACAATCTCATTTGTTTCCAATATCACTTCCCCAAATCAATCAGGTCTTTGATAGAAAGGCCTGCTGATATGATAGCAAAATCCTCAAGCACTCTCAGAAAATCAACTGGATCCACCGGTGTTCTGGGATGAGCCATCTTAATTGTACTTGAACCCCTGCAGAGGCTCCAGATCAGGCATGGGCAAACTTCGACCCTATAGGTAGGCTGTTGGGAATTGTGGGAGCTGAAGTCCAAAACACCTGGAGGACCGAAGTTTGCCTATGTCTGTACCTGGTGGTGATCTATCCATGACAACAGAGTATAGAAAATCCCCCATCCCTAATGATTCCATCCAACATGAGGGAGGATTTGTAGTTACCATGGCTGACATGAAATTTTGGGTCACTCTCAAAATTGTTCTTGAGCAAGAAGCTGGTGAGACTTCAGTACCGCTCCCAAGCTTGCCTGACTTGTTCAGGAAGGGAGATCCTCAGGTATGTCTTCTATTCATTAGAATTCCATGTCTTGGCTCTTATATAGGAACAGTCACTTACAACTATTCCATATGGCTAGAAAAAGTGATGGGAATGTATGTTTATATCTGACTTTTTAGCTTAATTATGATGCTCATCGGCATCCAAGGCCTGTTGAGCAGTTGGACCCAGATGTTCTTTACAGTGTAGCCAGATGGTTGCTCATCTAATAAGGACATTCAAATAGCATTGCCCTCTTTGCTTAAGGATTTGTCTTGCTAGATCAGGGCATCAGTGTTTCAATTTCTCTATGCTAATTAATATATCAACTTCGCACTTTTAAGACATGGTGTCAAGAACCCTAAAATCTGCTCTGTTTTCTGCACCAACGGTTTCAGAAGGGCTGATATTATTTCTCACTCTTTTCACATTATCTCATAGCAGTAAAACTGAGCATTACAATAAGTACATACTTAAAGATGTTCAAATATGTCAAACTATCCTTCTTCAGGTAATTTGAAAGCAATGAGTTTAAACAGAAGGAAAACATCTGAATGTTCCTTGTACCATTACATTAGGCTTTAATCTGTACACATAGATAGTAGAACAATGTTCTTCATGCTGATATAATAAAATCCACCCCAGCCTTAAATGCACAGACACACTGTGTACTATAAGCCTCCAGCTATCACAGAAGCAGCAACAAAATGCTACTGTTTTGTTTCAAGTGAGTTACAGTCCTTTCCCAGTTTGAATTTTTGGATATTTCACAGAGCAAAACAACTGATAAAACTCAGCTTTGTAAATGATGAGTTATGTAAATGATTGTCATGATGTTTCATTTATTTATCTCTAAACCAGAGAATAAAGGGTCACATTTACAGAAGGGAAGAAGGGGGCTGGAAACATTCAGAAAGGGATTGAAAAGAGCACAAAGTTTAATGGAACAGTGAAGAATTAAATATAGAAAGGTTTTTGGGGGGAAAATATACTTGTGCCAAAAAGCATGTTTTTAAATAGACCTTTCAGGATTTAATATATTAGTTTTGAAAGCATCAAGGTTTCCTGAGTATAATATACACCATTCAGACTGTGAGCACTTTCAGACGTCTGCCCTATGCTCACTTACCTAAGAATAAGCTCCTCTGAAAATAATGGCCCTTATTTTAGTAGACAAAATTGCACTATGGGAACAAAAATACAACACTCTGTTAGTCCATTAGTTTTTAGGGTGCTAACCTCTATTAAAAGCAACCTCTGATGTTGCCATAGCAGTGTGAACATCAGTGTTGAGTTTTTTCCCCACCACCACCCTGTAAACATCAGCTGTTCCTTGTCACATGGCAGAACAGTACAAAATTATTTATTCATTTATCCATTTATTTTATATCTCAGCCCCCTTCTACATTGCCATATAGTCCAGATTATCAAAGCAGATAATCCACATTATCTGCTTTGAACTGGTTTTTTTTAAAAAAGGTAAAGGTTTCTCCTGACATTAAGTCTAGTCATGTCTGACTCTGGGGGTTGGTGCTCATCTCCATTTCTAAACCGAAGAGATGGCATTGTTCATAGACACCTCCGAGGTCATATGGCCGGCATGACTGCATGAAGCACTGTTACCTTCCTGCCGAAGCGGTTCCTATTGGTCTACTCACATTTGCATGTTTTCGAACTGCTAGGTTGGCAGAAGCTGAGGCTAACAGCGGGCGCTCACCCCACTTCTCGGATTCAAACTGACCTTTCAGTCAACAAGTTCAGCAACTCAGTGGTTTAACTCACTGTGCCATTAAAACAGATAATCTGGATTTTATATGGCAGTGTAGAAGGGGCCTCGGCTTCTTCTAAAAACACTCAGTATAATGCAATATATGATAGTACAGTCCTGTCATATACAGCTCATTAAATTAGTGCCTGAGAGTAAGTGTGTTAGGATGGACCTTTGAATTCCCAGTTGCCTTGTTCATTGGTTCCCAATAGAGTCAGAGTGCATCTACACTATAGAATTAATGCAGTTTGACACCACTGTAACTGCCATGGCTCAGTGCTATAGAACCATGGAAGCTGTAGTTTTACACAATCTTCAGGGTTCTCTGCCAAAGAGTGTTGGTGCCTCACCGAACTACAGTTCCAGTGGTTTCATGGCACTGAGCCATGGCAGTTCAGTGGTGTCGAACTGCACCATTTCTTCACTCTTGATGTGCCCATAGCAACATCTAAGTAGAGATGTGATCATTCTTCAGTAAATAGTGTCTTTGGATGCCTTACCTTGCCAGTCAAGATGTATGACTTCCAAATCATATTCCAGCTTATTTCCTTTCATCTACCAAATGAGAAAATTATGAAAAAAATATCTTATTGAGGTCTTTTTGTATGCTGGAATCTGCCCTGAGTCCTCCGGGGAGATATGGTGGAATATAAATAAAGATTATTATTATTATTATTATTATTATTATTATTATTATTATTATTCTAACACAAAAGCATAGTATGTCACAGCAAACGAGATCTATATGCTGGATTTTGTATCAAAAAATCACGTCGAACACTTCCCAAGTGTTTAGGACTGTGTGATGTTTATTATTATTATTATTATTATTAGTAGTAGTAGTAGTAGTAGTAGTAGTAGTAGTATTTGAAATA